GGAGCCCGTTCCAATGCTTAAAGGAATGCTCACACAAGGTAGGGAGATGTTGCTGGTGCTCACCCAACAGCACAAGGTGGATGGGGACACGTGCTCCTACACGATCATGCCATGTCATAGCCTCTTTTGGGCCAGGCTTGGCCCTAGGCATGTCAGAGGACCATACAGCTCCTGTTTCCCACCCCACAGATAGCCTAGCTTGACCAGGACTTGATTCACTTCTCTACCAGATCCCATCTTTGCCTCCATGTGTTAGGGCAAACTTTTAGACTTGTAAGGCACTTTTTAAACCTGGATTATCTAGGCTTAGGCATTAGCTGCCTTTGTGGCTTAGCTGAGGCCGGACAGGTGTAAGACAACAAGGGTTGTCCAAGCTTGGAGCTCAGGTGGGTGGGTGGGCAGGCTGAGAAAGACAGCAGACCTTGCAAATGTGTGTGGTCAACGGAAGAGCAAGAGGAACTACTATGGGGAGGGAGAGGAAAGGCAAAGAAGGAGAGGGGGGGAAATAACCCCCTGCTCTGCTGAGAAATAACTCATTTGATATGCTTGCATTGAGATAGAGGTCTCTGATCTCAATGACATTTGACCTCAACCAGTTAATGGGAGACTGGACAAAACTGGAATAAGTTGTCTGCTTTGCTGACACAGATGTGACGCATTGCGCATCTGAGAGCTGCTGATCTGATGCTGCTCTGAGCTGTCGTCATCTGCAACAGCAACAGCATTTAAATGAAAAGAAGAACCAACAGGACAAGTAAAGAAGGATTTCTGGCTGGTGGGCAACCTGACAGTGAGCCCAGAGAAATCAGTTCTCCATGGCTCCAGATATGAGGGACTGGGACTGGAGCTACTCATGCCATCAGGAGGAGCAGATCAATGAGCCTCATGCAGCGGGGTGGACTTTCTCCTCCCAACCAGCAGGCTGGACATGGGGACACATATTTCCATGTTGGCCTCAGGTCAAAAGCCTCTCAGGGCTGGTGAGGACCGCATTGCCTCTGCAACAAGGACATTGGGCTTCTCCTTCGCTCTTCAGCTGGAGAAGATAAGTGTTTGCAGCAAAGGCCACTGAAGCTGATGAACCTGCTAGGTGCCTTTGGGGTAGGCCATAAAAAACATCCAAGAGCTGGCTGACCCCTCTTCCTGCAAAATCAAAGTATCCCAACAGAGAAGGAAAATCCTTCTGTAGGATGAGGACCAAAACTCGAGCTCCTTGAGCTGGGAGAAGGTCTCTGCCTTGCTATTCCCAGAGCAACATTGCTGTCTCACAGCCATTGCTGGGGAGGTGGTAAGGAACATGGCTCATGGAGGATGCAATTAGCGGCTCTGGAGTTTGGTAGGCACACTTTTCAACCTCGTCATCTTTGCTGCAGAAATGTCCTCAAAGCGTAGCTAATGAAAATGTCGTCTCTGCCCTTGTTCTGAGGAGTGAAAACAAAAGCTGGAATGCAGTATCTGGACTAGTTTTTAGTCCTGGATTGCTCTCTGCTGTGGCAGACATTACTGTCCAGGCAAAAAGCAGATTAAATCTATGAATCAAATTTTATGGGCAATGCTTGCTGGTTCCAATGCAAATGTGATCTAGGACAAAACTGCAGCTTAGGAAAGAGAAGGAAGACGTGCTAGCAGAGTAATCATTAATAGACACTGCTAATGTGAGATCCTCCATTGCATTGAGTAGGGGTGAGTGCTTGTGAGCCAAATTTTGGTGTTGGTCATGATTACCTGGAGTAAGGCTGCTCAGGTGGTGTCAGCAAAGTGACAATGGGTTTACCTTGTGTATGCGAGACCAACACATGGACTTGGAAAGAAGTCTCTACTGAGGCCTTTTGCAGCTAGATAAAATGAGCAGAAGAGAGTAAAATAGAAAATAGATAACTTGGAAATGTAATGTTCTCTTTTCCACTCTTCTTTGTTTGCCAGGCCTTTCTGGGGTTGACCAGTACCAAGCTTGGCAAGGACTGGCTCTTCGTTGTGCACGCTGGTTTGGTTATGCCAGCTGTATGATTTGATGACTGCTAATAAGCATAGATTTGATGAAGTATTCCCCAAAGTCTTTGCTTTGCCGTCTAAATCCTCATCAGCAATTGGATTAGTTCTAGGGAATGAACAATTACAACACAAGATAGTGTATTATGTTAAGACAAATTGATGGGTTTTATTTAATCATATGGTCCTGGTCACATCTTGATAGTATTTTTCCTATGGAGGGGAATGCATCCTCACACCGGTGGTAGGTACCAGGAAAAAAACTAAAAAATGCTTGGTTTAATTGACTAGTGCCTAAAAATAAGGCAAATTAACTCTCCGTACCAAAACAAAATGGGTTAGGCTTTTACTTTAGGTTATGTTGGCTCTGCATATCTTTCTGCCCAGATATCAGAGATAAAGTTTGCACTTTCTGGACCGCAGAGAAGTGTATGCCCAGGTTCCTTGCAAGGACTGTCTTGGTACGGGAGGGAAAATTCAAGTCAAAAGCTCTGACAAGATGATCTGTCCACCCTGTGCGCTCTAGTTCATCATGGCTCCGGCACCAAAGGTCCTGTGGACATTTCATTAAATCAGACTAAGGCCTCCCAAGGCACAGCAAAAGGCTGGAAATCCTTAGCTAAGGTTGTACCAGGCATCAAGAGATGAGAGACGCAGAAAGTGAGAGACTGGCTTTTTCTGCTTTACTTGTGCACTACAAAATGCGTCCCAGTAAATGTGGGGGAACATCACTAACCTTCACTGCCTTGTGTCTCCCCAAGCCCTTTTTGTCTGAAATACAGCTAAACTGCTGCCTGGTGGCACAGGCTGGTGTGTTTGGGTGTGCAGAGGGATTAGCACTTTAACCTGCTCTCGCACCTTGTCTTCAGGCCCTGTGAAGACCTGGAGGTGTAAAATGTCTCGCCTGTGACTCGCGGTAGCAGTTTTCCATCGGGAAGACCCATGGCCATTAGAGGTTGAGCAATGCCCCGTGAGTTGCTTTGCAAGTACCCAGCAACCACAGCAGATAGGAGGCATCTCCCCATCATTATGGTGTTGCTCAGCTTTACCAACGGGCCAGGGCAGCACAGGATCCCCATTTCATTACTTGGTTGTTACGTGTTGGTGGGGTATGGTGAATTGGGGCCAAGCCAGCAGCAGTGAATATAACCTGCAGTACCGGGGGAACTGGCTATGTGGATGGCTTTTGGATCTGGGTTTGCAGCTCCATCATTGAGGAACAGTGGGTCTGATCCCACCTCCTCTGGTTTTAATTAATAGCGTAGTTAAATCATGCTGTTATGCGACAGCATGAGAAATTATCACCTTAAGAAGGTCTGCTGCTGGTGGCACACATATTTGTTACCCGCTGCCTCTCTCAGAGGGGCACTACGGAGGATGAGTTTGTATTTAAGAGATGTGTGTGTAATTACTTACGCACGGTTTTGCAAATCATTCCTTTCTGTTAGGTCCTCTGCCGTTGTTTCTCTTGCTGGCACCTGGCTTGCTTTGTGCATCTGATGTTTCCGTACAGGTGTGAACAGAAAATGCCCAGGGCTCCCTGAGATGCCGTGATAGACTGGCCCTGCCTGCTGGCAGAAGGGAGATGTGGGCAGAAGGGATCCGGGTGAAGAAGGCGTGATGTGCATGCCTGTGCCTAGGGATGATACCCAGTGTCTCTTGGTGCTGTTGTTTCCGGATATTTTGTGCCATTCCCAAAGATTAAAAAAGAAAGAGGAGTTTTTAAGGAAGGTGAGGTGTTCAAAAGACTGTGTAAAAGGGTAGGGGTCCTATCCTGGGCCTGATCCTCAGCAAAAAGGTGTCTCTAATAGCCTCGCTTGAGTCTCATCCTTCACCTCTGACTTGACTCGTTCCCTAGTTTAAGAGCCAAAAATTTTTCTGTGATGCTTGTAAATGCTCCGGGAATGTAGGAATTAACATGCCAGATTGGGTCAAGGGTCCGTCCCAGCGAAGATCTTGAGTGAGGTGCAAGCCAGTGCCAGATGTTTCGCAAAGAGCCTCTGCTACGAATAATGTCTTTCACACCTCATTTCTTCCTCATTCCCATCTGTTTTATGGCTGGTCTCACAGCAGTCCGTGTTGTGTTTCCTCCAGCCACGTTCTCCCTGCATGCAGCTCAGGAGGACGGGCAATTGAAGGGTCTCAGCAAAGACGCACGGTCTTAACCCCAGCTCTCAGAGGTGGAAGGTGTCTCATTCACATCCTGCAGTCAGCGAGACACAGTTTCTTAGAGCGGAGGTTATTTCCTTGCCTATGAGACATTTTTAGACAGGCAAAGAAACACTTTGAATTGCGTGGAAAGTCGGCAAACTTTGAAAACTTTGGTGGGATCATAACCCATGAAAAGATATTTTAGAAAACAGATTTGTTTCTTTTTCCTTTTCTAAAACGTTGAAGCTTTTTCATAGAATCGTAAATCAGTTTGGGTTGGAAGGGACCTTTAAAGGCCATCCAGTCCAAACCCCTGCCATCAGCAGGGACATCTTCAACTCCATCAGGTTGTTCAGAGCCCCGGCCAACCCGACCTGGAAGGGTTCCAGGGATGGGGCATCTACCAACTCTCTGGGCAACCTGGTCCAGCGCTTCACCACCCTCACTGTAAAACATTTCTTCCTTGTGTCTAGTCTGAATTTCCCCTCTTTTAGTTTAAAATCATTACGCTTTGTTCTATCACTAGAGGCCCTGTTAAAACTTTTGTTCTTTTTCTCTTGAAGAGAGGCAAATCAAAACAAGCTGAATCAGTTTCCATCAGTATACAATTTGGAGCCAAAAAGTCATTTTGAACCCAAACCTATGTGTTAGTTCCAATGGTTTTTGGAGGAGAAAAACTATTAGTCAAAATAAACATTTTTCCATCTAATCAACGTTAACTGACCTGTTCTCTTTTTTTAACCCTTTGACAGAGGAGAAAAAGAGTTGTTTGCCCAATTCTTGCCCTGGATAGGCAAACACCAAGCTGGGTTGCCCTGACCGCCGCTGGCCCCCGTGACGGCCGTGCTCTTCTCTTCCAGGTGCTCCTTTTCAAAGGTCTCAGCATCCCCATGCTACCTCCTGCCGGCATTTCCACCTGGGTCCCCAGCCTCAACTCTCCACCGATTTCACCCTGCCTCACGCGGTGCAGCCCCAGCCGGGGTTGACCCCCCACATGGCCCCCGCGCACCAGCACAGCGGCCCCCTGCACCAGCCCCTGGCACCGGTGCCAGCCCTGCCCTTCCAGGACGTGGCCGGACCCTCCTTCCTACCTCAGGCGCTACACCAGCAATACCTCCTCCAGCAGCAGCTCCTCGAGGCACAGCATCGTCGGCTCATGCCCCATCCCAGGTAAGGGCATCCTCTTCTTCCTGAAGGATGCTGAGAAGCTACATCAGCATCACGTTGGCAAAGCGGCTTCTGCAAAACCACAGCAGTACGTGCTGGTAATGTTGGGTTTTCTTCTCAAGTTCATATGTGTACCACCAAAACGCATCCACCAGAAGGGAAACTGAAGGGCAGGTTGCGCCTGCAGGTGTATCTTTTGCATGTGGATCCGTACGGTGCTCACCTAGTATGTCCCAAGGTCACCTATTACTGTCACATGTAGGAGAATCACGATGAGCCTGTCCTGCATGGCAGAATGAGCCGTAGGCTGCATGCACGAGCTACGTCCTCGTAGCTGCTGTTTCAAGACTGTGTAAAAGATTATATCCACCTGTCCCATCAGGTTTTGCACATGAAGAGCTTGCTCCTCTGGCTCTAGGTAGGCTTCCCAGCTCTATGAGGGAATGATACCGTTGACCTGCAGCACATTCAATCATGGAAAGCGGTCTAAATTCAGACGGGGTTAATGACCGCAGAGAGAATTATTGTAACTCAGCAGAGGTGGAAATGGATGCCTGGCCTTGTCCTGATTGTGTTTCTTGAGAGACGGGTTTAGGTAGCACGTAGCAGAGGAATGCTTTTTTTGGAAACCTATGGAGGCTATTTGTGGGTTGTACCCACGGATCAAGAACCAGAGGATGAGTCTTTGTGATAATGCTTCATTTGGAAGGAATGCTACAGACGGAAAACACTTTCTTTCCATACCCCTTCTGTCTGAAAACTGTGTATTCTTCTCAACCTTGTTTTGTTTTGCATAAGCTGGATTTTAGATGGATTTAATGATTAGTTAATAATTGGGTAGCAAATATGTGCAAGGTTGAGGCACCGGTGATACAAGAGTGTATCTCTTAGTCATAAGCTGAATTCAAATAAAAGCACGGAGCACAATTCCTCGCAGAAGCTGCTTTGGTAAATGCTGTCAGTGTCACATTTGCAAGTGGGTTGTGGTGTGGAAAAGGGCAGGAACCTCTTGCAGGGTCCCACAGCCTGTTTCTGCAAGCACAGCTGCATTGGAGGAGAGTGTCAGAAACCTTACAGGTGTGGGCCATGAGGTCCCAGTAATGGGAATCTGGGTCGTGCCTTTAAAAGTGAAGGCTCCGAACTGTGGCTGCATGAAAAATTCTTTATCCAGCAGTTCTCTGTTCCATCTTCTAGTGTTTTCCCTTAGATTTGCTTTGTGATGACTCTGCTGGTAAGCAGGGACTTGGCAGGAGGAAAGGGGTATGAGTTTAGGGCAACGAAGGTGGTGAAGAGTCTGGAGCACAAATCTGATGGGGAGCGGCTGAGGGAGCTGGGGGTGTTTGGTCTGGAGAAGAGGAGGCTGAGGGGAGACCTGAACAATGACCTGGAAGGAGGGTGTAGTGAGGTGGGGGTCGGTCTATTCTCCCAGGCAACCAGTGACATGACAAGAGGGCACAGTCCGAAACTGCGCCAGGGGAAGTTCAGGCTAGAAATGAGGAGGCATTTCTTCACTGAAAGCGTCGTTCGGCCTTGGAATGGTCTGCCCAGGGAGGTGGTGGGGTCACCATCCCTGGAGGTGTTTAAGAAAAGACTGGACATGGCACTTAGTGCCATGGTCTAGCTGACATGGTGGTATTAGGGCAAAGGTGGGACTCGATCCCAGAGCTCTCTTCCAACCAAACCGATTCTGTGAATCTGTCTGTAATGCAAATCCTGCTTGTGCATCCACCTTGTCTCTCTTCAAATGTGGACACTGGTCAAGCAGCACGTGCTCTTCCCTTGAGTAGTTCAAATAAGCAATAATCACAAGAAGAGACTCAAATCCCTAGAAAAACCTTGCTATATTTTCTACCTCTTTCCTCTCCCTGCCTGCAAAGGCAGCAGAGCTGGGAGAGAAGGAGCTGGATCCTAGCCTGGCCTGTCCATCATCCAGAGAAATGTTGGCAAAGGCCAGCGAGAGTAAATTCTGCTTTCAGTTACTCCTGAGTAATCCTGTTATGAATGAGGTTCCCCAGGAGTTTATGGACTGCATGGGGAGAGGAGACAACCTGCAGCTTCTTTATGATGATGGATAATGGTTGAAGCAGGGACACATTTTATCTTGTGTGTTGTTTATGGGGCTGCCTGGAGAAAAAGAAAATAGTGCAAATGGCACAGAGCTGCTAAGGAAGAAGTTATTTGCTTTCCTTTTTTTCTCTCCATGTTGCCACCAAATGGCATCTCCTGTAAACTGAACATATGTGGATGCCACAGGAGGTGAGACCAGAGGTCTGCGTTATGTCCCTGGTGACCACGAGTAAATGACATAGCTCTGGGTTCCTCTTCCCATCATCCCTGACACGTCCGTAGACCCTTTTCTCTTGGACACATATTCACAAGCCCAACCGTACTGGTTTTCCCCTGGTTTATTGACACGAGCTTGGAGCAGGAGCCATACGTACGAGTGCCATCACGTAGCTAACTCACTTGCTGGTCTCCTCCCCGCAGGCGGGCTCAAGAGCGCATGTCTGTTCAGCCTCACCGTCTGCACCCCAGCTTTGACTTCAGCCACCAACTACAGGCTCCACAACCCATGGGGCCCCAGCCCAGGTATTTAGCCGAAGGCACGGACTGGTAAGTCTTCCACGTTTCACTAAGGCGTTGAATGAGTTGTTTAAAAAGTCCTGGGAAAGCTGCAAGGGTTGGTGAATGTCATCACACATTGATGCTTTCGTGAAAGCTGATGGTTCAACTCAACAGATACAACGTGGGGAGTGTGCAATGGGAAAACTCATCTCTGGGAGGGCCATAAGTGTGTGGTAAAGCCTTTATGCATGTATATGATAACATTGAGGCATCAATATTGCCCATAACCCTTCATCCATGGATTCAGAATGCAGTCAAGAGTTGATCTTCCCCAGGGGCTTCTCCTGCTGCAGGGCACAGCCATCGTATTTCTCCTGTACACCAACATCTCTGCCTGAACTAGATTTTATGCTGTCTGCCAGGCACTCAAAAAACAGTGGCCACAACCTTTTCTGTGGTCTAAATTAGGGAGCACTGTGCTGCCCTGCCCTGCAGGGTGGTGTTGAATGAATTAATAGTTGTTAATCGTTCTCCCACTGTAGTGTTTGATACTTTGGAAAAGCCGAGCAGGGAATTGATCATTTCGTTTTCAGAGCAGGTGGTGAGCTGTTTCACAGTTTATAAGGTATGGGGCCCTGCTTGGAAGAGAAAAGAAAATAAGAGCATAATTCTGAGTAGCTGCTTGTTAGCTGACCAAAGTCCGTTCTGTGCACTGGATGGAAAAAATAACATGTGAACATGTAATTAGAGACAGTCACAATGTGTACGCACGAGGGGACTGAAATAAAATGGCAGAGGAAATCTTAATTATGGCATTTCCTAACATCTGAGCACTTCGTTCTGCAAACGGAGAGTCCTTTTAACACAGGGGATTCTTTTCCCCCTCCAGGGTAATAATACACAACCTAAAATATGGCCAGATCCTTCTGCCATTTTCTTCTCAGGTGTTCCCATTACTGGCACCACTGTAAGCTGAATTGGGCCAGGATGACATTGTTCAGATCAGTTTGCAAAGCGGTTCACATGCCATCTGGATAGAGCCATTCTTTCTGCCTCTCTTTCAGCACAGAGTGTTTAATTATAATCATTAGATAAAACATCGATTTATGTTCCCCTCCTCCTCCCTCCTTTTTCTTCCTGTGTTGCTCCATAGCCTTGTAAAACCTAAGGAGTGGGGATGACAGAAATCATATGCTGTATGTATATATTTGGGTGACTCACTTCCCCTTGGGGCACATGTACAGTTTTGCCCGGTGACAGATGTAAAAACTTTGCTCTAATGCGTTACCACCGCATGAGCGGCAGTGGTACTCACGCAGAGGCGGTAGCTGGTACGCGCTGTGGTGGGAAATGGGGATGCAAGGAAGGTCTGAAGGTGATCGGTCATCTCAGACAGCCCAACCTCGATTAAAATCTTCTGGTGGAAAATAAACAAACTTGCATTTGGTTCCTTAGGTCATCTTCTGCATACACATTTAGTGACAACCACCCAACCTGTTATCTGGAGCTTTATCCTTCACTTTTTGGTTGTTGTCAGCCTGTGTACCTACCATAAACGTCACAGCTCTTGAACCTTGCATCCGAGCATCACGACGCCGTACAGTCATCCACGTTAGCACAGGCTAGAAGGTGTTCGTTGGTTTTGGTTTTCTTCAGCTAATGTGCTCTGCTTATTCACCCCCAAACACTGGGAAAACACTATTCCATGCAGTGTTCTGCTTCAGACCCTCCTGTAGATCCACAGCATCGCTTCAGGAGCCTCGACATCTGATTTTAACTCTCTAGATGCACCGGTGCACAAACACTTCAGCAGCGCTGTTATTGCAATTACTTGTGCAAGCTAATAATCGCCATTCATCTTTGAGAGATCTCGTCAGTCCCTGATCTCAAAGCGCCCTGTGGATTATCTATTTTGCAGACAGGGAATATGAGGAAGGCAGAGAGGAAGTGGTCAAGGTCATGCATCAGGCCAGCGACAGGGCTGGGAAGGGACCCAAAGCCTCCTAATATACAACTAAGTCTTCCATCCACCTGGGAACAGTCTTAAGCAATTGGATAAATCTCCAAAATTGTGACACAGGAGCTGGAAAGTGCCCAGTCCTGCGGATTCTCACCTTGGTTGTGTTCCTGTCAACCTCCTGCTGTGTTTTGTCCTCTGCCAGGTTTAGTCTGTCGAGGACATGGCTAGCACAGGGCCAACAAAGGTAGTCCCTCTCTTTGCTTCAGCTTTGTGCAGGGTGTCTTACTAAGGGGTAGTGGAGGTGCTACCCGGTACACAGGCTGTTCTGGGTAAAGGATTTCTGAATTTACTGTCCCTTCACATCTTTTATCTGCTGTTGGGTGAAAGCGGTTTCACAGCTGCTGGAAGAGATGTCTGGGTTGCTCCTAACAAGCTGTGGCACTCTCTGCCACTGTCCTCCACACAGGGGAAGAGAAGTTGGAGGCTGAAATGGGAAGCCACCCCATGCTTTAATTTGCTTTGACAAATATGAAGACAATGGTTATTAGAGCACTGGTTTTTGTAATTATGCTAAGGTGAATGACGTTCAAAGCATTTGTTTGCTGAGAGACTCTTTGGCCGGAGAGACAAGGGATCAACTAATTGGATTATAGATGGAGATGCTGCGTTAGGTCTCCTCCTGTTAGGTCCCTCCACACGGTGTGGGGATGGGGTTGCAGTTTGTCTCTGTGTGCTGGATCGGGCAGGGCTGTGGTGTTTGCCATGATCTTGGTCATGCTAAGTCCTGGGATTGAGCTGGGTTATTTTTCTGGAGGAAAAAAGTACCCAAACTCACCAAGCTGAGCCCCAGCTCTGCTTGCCTGGGTCAGGCTGCATGCAGCCAAGTGGGACCATCAGGGATGTCCTGGTTCATTGGCGTTGGCCCGCTGGTTGTGTGTCACCCTTTCCAACAGCAGCCTTATCCACAAATTTCTTAAAACCTTTATATTTTCTGCACAAACAGCAGCTCTGGAGTTCCCTGAAGCTGGGTTCAGGTGAGGTTCAGTCTGCCTCATCTCCACAAGTCCTACCATGACCTGGGCTGGGAGACCTCCAAGGAGAGCAAAGACCTCCAAAAAGCCCCTAGATGGTGCCTAGCTGGCTCCTAACAATTATCCAGAATGGTTCATCAGTGTCCCTCCTGAGTAATTAACTCTATTCCTGCAAAATATTCAAGGCAAAATATAATTGTTCACAGTGATGGCAGCACAGGGAGGACCTGGTCTGGCCGGGATGAGTTACCAAGCCTGGGTATCGATTGGAGCCACCAAAATGCTCTTGCTCTGAAATTAGCAGGCTGCATCTGTACAGCTTTTGACCTCAGCTAATACAAACGCTAACTTGCATAAAAATAACCGCTCAATCCTTCGTACCGGCCTGGTGGGCGATTGCCTAAATTGGAGAAAACTCTCTTCCAAGCAGTAGCATCACCCCAGGTTGAGGAACCCACGGCAGCCCAGAGCCCACCAGGGGAGGCTGCCCTGTGAGCATGATCTGACTTGCTGTAAGCCATGCAATAAAACCATGCAGTCAAAGCTGTATCTTCATCCTCGTGCCCCCAGGGACCTCAGCGTCGATGCAGGACTCAGTCATACGCAGTTCCAGGTCCGACCGGTCCCTCAGCCCTATCAGCATTACTTAGCTACACCTCGGATGCACCATTTCCCCAGAAGCACATCCTCGACACAGATGGTAAGTGAAACACTTTTACTGAGAAATGTTTTATGCATTGTCTGCCAGAAGGCAGTCAAAATAAAGGCTGCTATCTTTCTATCACCTGTCTCCTGTGAATCCCACTTATCTCCGGCCGTGGGAGGGAGAGTCTGAAAGGATAATGTTGCATCATCGCACTCTGGATTAGAGAAAGGAAAGAAAAGCTCAGCTGCTTTGGAAAGATTCAGTTCCTGACGTACAGCACCATGCTTACAAGCTGGTCTGCCAGACCTGGGCAGGATGTGAGGAACTCAGCAGTTATTACTGATAGTATTATTAATTCTGGAACAAATTGTGGGCTTCCAGGACTTTTTGTATGCAGAAAGATTGGCAGTAGGTGACTCCCTTCCTTGGGCTCAGCCCCAAGGACCATCCCTCATCACATCATTGCTCTCTACATCAGCCTTGATGCCATCTGTAAAAGTTTTGCATGACCTCTTGCACAGGTGGAGATGGGATTTGACCAGAAGATGGGCTGATTGGGGTCATTTGCTGGCCCTTCTCCTGGCAGGGTGCTGTGTTTGGAGCTGAGCCCTGCCAAGCACTGCTAATCCTTTAAGCATCCTCAGAAATCCCACAAGGGTGTTTTTTCCTCGTGCCCATAGTTGGACCCTGACACCTGTGTACCGCAGCGAGACTCGAAAAATCAAAGCCTGGATGAAGGCAAATCCACCCGGTTAAAACTAAATAAAATGAAATCTCTTTTTAAGCTAATCCATGTTGAGAGTTTGGAACTACAATGTTATAGATGCAACAAGAACTATTACAACATATTTTATTCAGAAGAAATGCATGTTCTTAGTTATCATTTATAGGAGATCTATTTAATAAAACCTCATCTTTTTGGTGATTAAAAGGTTTCCATTGGGGAAGGTGTCAGTCTGCTCTTTCATTTTGAATTTTTAAATTCACTAGATTTAAATCAGGGTACACAAGGGATTTCTGTGTGCAAGTACGGGCGGCTTTATTTTTCTCCATCACTTCTCGCAGGTTGTTCATGAAATCAGAAATTACCCTTATCCTCAGCTTCAGCTACTTGCTCTTCAGGGACTGAACCCAAGCAGGCACACGTCCGCTGTGCGGGAGAGCTATGAAGTACGTATCTCAGAGACTGGAATTATTATTAAATTTTTAAGTACTGGGAATCTATGCAAGCTCTGGCATAAACTTGTAAGACTGTTTTGTGGCATGGCAATTGCATTGAATGTTGCAGTAATTTTAGTAATAACTGGGAGATGAAAGGGTTGAGTGAGTTTGGTAAAAGATGGTTTATTTCAAGGTGCCTGGATCTGGCTTGGGTTGACTCTGGCTCCCTTCATGTCTGTGAACGAAGTGCTCCAGTTCTACGCGGTTTTGTTTCCCAGCCTGTCGAACGGAGTTCAAATTCCACCCTAATTTCTGAAATATCGGATATCCAGCTCTTCACCTTGAGCCCTTAGTTATTAGCCCAAGTGCCAAGGCTCAGATCCATCATTAAATCGTGACTGATTCAGGTTTGATGGACATTTCCACTGAGGAAAGGGCAGGAGGGAGCCTCGGTCGCCAGCAGGTAGGGTGGGCTGGTGGGACCTCCTACCCCGGGAGCAATGCTGATGGAGACTTGATGCCATTCCTGTGCCGCAGGAGCTGCTGCAGCTGGAGGACAGGCTGGGCAGCGTGAGCCGGGGTGCGGTCCAGAATACTATTGAGAGGTTCACCTTCCCCCACAAGTACAAGAAGGTGAGTACCCCGAAACCATGACACGGCTGCCAGCCCCTCTTGGTTGGCCAGGGGTTGTGGGCACGGAGCGGACAGAAGGAAGGACATCGGTGGGTCGCCATCTTCAAGGTTGGCAAGCTGGCACCAGCCATCAAAATATTCCCCAAAACAGGGGAGGAATATAAAATCCAGAATTGGTGCTTTAATATCTTGTGGGGCTCCTGGGCCAAAGTGGTGGTGTAGCTCAGCTGGCTGTTTCTCACTTCTAGGCTAGGAAGCTGCGGGCCAAATTTTCAAAAGGGTCTCAACCTTCTCCCACCCAGCGGGTACAATTTCCCCCCTGTCTGCACCTGGTAAGAAAGTGCACACACCAAGGGGGCTCCGTGCATGCAAACCCGTCCCATTCTGCATGCAAGCAGTGCTGCCCGCATGCCCCACTGTGAGGGTGCTGGCTCCATGGCGTGGGGGAGGTTGTCCTCCCCTCAATTTGCAAAGGGTGTCTCCTCTGTTGGAGCTGATCTCCCGCCCGTAAGGAAATGGGTGCCACATTTTTGGGTTGTGCAAAGTAGAAAATGGGAAAAATGCTTGTTTGGGTAGTAATTTCACATGTTGATCTTTCCTAGCTGGACAGTAACAAGTAGGGATTGCCCAGGTTGGAAGTGAGTCAACTCCTGCTGTGCTTATCTCTGACCACATCTCCAGTGGATCCAGAAAAATTATATTAATAGGAATGGATGTGTGTGGGGAAGAGAAAAGGGGAGAGCTGACAGGCTAAGCATTGCCCCATGGCGCAGCATGGGTCTGGGCCGATGGCCAAGCTGGCATGGGCCACAGTGGTTGCCCTTCCCACATGCTTTGGGGTCTTCAGAAGAAGCCTCCGGTAAAGGAGACTGTGGGGCTGTCCCCACTGCAAGGAGGATGGATAAGGCAGTGGGAGGCTGTGTTAGGGCAGCAGAGGACAGGTTGCTCCTTGGGTCGCTACCACCAGCCCCACTGCCACCGGCCCCGGGAGGAGGCATGCCGACCAGCAGCATGTTGGTGGTGTCCTCCCCTCCCTGGCTGTTTTGGCTGGGTTGGCTTCCCCAAGCTGGAGGATCTCACTGATAGATGAAGCTCTTATTATTTGCCTTCCTGCAACTACGTAGCCTTGGGAGAGCATTAGAAAGTCAAGTCCTAACCAAATTGTGTCTTTAACCTTGCTGCAGAGAAGACCACAGGAGGGCAAAGCTGAGCAAGAGGATGGAGAGGAGTCGGACACCGATGAGAAATGCACAATCTGTCTGTCCATGCTTGAAGACGGAGAAGACGTCAGGTACGATCCTTCCATCTGCTCCTCTGCCTCTTGAGGCCATCTGAATTGTGTTTTTTGGGATTCATTCTGCCGTGCACTGGTGGGGTTGTCCCTGTTTTTGTCCTGACAATCTCACTTGGGCTGTTGTAGGCTCTGGGAAATCAACTGCCATTTAGATGGACATTGGTATGGGCCACAGGTAGGAAGAGCTCTGCAGCAGAAGGAGCGTCAAGTTTTTATAGTATCTCCTGGGTTTGGATCACCTCCTTCAAGGCTGTGCCAATGGGCCAGGTGGCAAGTGTCAGAGAAAGATGAGTCCAGGTCTCAGACAGCCATCTGGAGCTTGGGTACATCAACATCTGAGCTTGACAAATAACCAAAGTACAATAAAAGGGAGCGTGGGTGTGAAGTCCAGGGGAGTTTGGCTTCTGGCCAGGACGGAGCAGCTTTGTTGTAGAATAAGTGAGATTACTCCACCTGCATGGTCAGAGGGAACCATCCTGAGCCAACAACAAAGCCCCAGTTATCCCTCACAGATGTCCTCAGGATCTTGGCTGGGTCAAATCTCTGCTGGAGGCAGAGGATGGGGAAAAGCAATTGGAAGGGGTTGAGCTACCATGGATGAAGGAGCTGCAGGTGGGCAGTGCAGCTGCACTACCTAGTCCTGCTCCTCTCCCTTTAATTGCCTTAAACCATCAAGAAAAACTCTGATCCTCTTGCTCTGGGTCCTTGTAGTTCAGGGTCCGTCTGGCTCACAAGGGTGAGCGAAGAGATGATAAAGGGGATGTAGGTGAAAGCAAACACATTCCCTGGGGCGCGTCAGACACCCACATAGGAGTGATGGGGACCCACCTGATTGCTAATGAGCTGCAACAATGAAGAACCAAGAGGCTTTGGATTGCAACCTGAAAGGTTAGAAAACATCAGCCAGGGTAATTAATAACTGAAACAACTCAATCCAGGGGGTTTTTCTAAAGGCTTTTAGCCAAGAAGGACACTATCTCTGACCTGTGGCCCAACATGAGCTGGCGTGGCTGGGGAAGGCTGTAGGACCTAGGTAGCACTGGCCTCACTACATCAATGCTTCCCCATGTTTGAAGCAGCCCCCACTGCTGCTTCTTTCTGGCTCTTCCTGATCCCCTGGACCTTCTCCATCCTAACGAGGTGGTACTTCTCTCTCTGCAGGCGGTTGCCCTGTATGCATCTCTTCCATCAAGTGTGCGTGGACCAGTGGCTGGCCACCAGCAAGAAGTGCCCGATCTGCAGGGTGGACATTGAAACACAGCTCGGCTCGGACAGCTGAAAGGACTGGCTGGACACACCATTTTCCTTACCAGGTCGTATGGCCATAAACCTTTGCAGCAAAATTTTTGCCTTCTGAGCCATTTGATTGAGAGGAAAAGTCTGCAGGCACGTTAGTGAGGAGGAGGAGGAGGTGGCAGTACAATATCTAGTGGTAGGAGATATTGCACATACGCAGGATACGGGCCCGGTGAAAGGGAGCTGGCATTCCCGGAGCTCAGAGACCCCGTGCTGCAGAAGATTTAGTGTTGAACATGAAGGAACTAGTTGTGGTAGTCTGGCCTGTCAATCCTGCATTTCATGAGGATTGTATATATACCTCTCGAATATGTAGAAACATGTTAGGGGTCCTTTAGCTATTTCTATGGATGGCAGCTGGAGCATGTTAGCTTAAGAAATGTTGTGTTTGATGCCCTACTCATCTTGTGGTGGACATGTTGCTGTTACCTAATTTGCACCAAATATTTTTTCATAGATTCCTTATTTTGGTGCCTGATTAATACATTGCAGAGGGGGAATAAAGAAATCAACCTTTCCCACCCTTTGGGGGGAAGAGGCGAAAAAGCAAAATCCTGTTTACAGTCAGAAGGGTTGCGCTCTTTGCCTCAGCCGCGTGTGCTTCCTTTCCTTGCGTTTACAGTGTGTTGCAAATTTAAAGAAGCTTAAAAAAATAAAAATTGAGAATGATATGAATGAAGCAATAGGGAGAAGCTTCGTTCCTGCTTATCTGCTGGTGCTGGACACTATCTGTAGGGGCACAATATTGAAGTAGATGCTGTTTCTTTGCTTTCCGTATCTTAACGAAATAACTTGGCATATCGAAATCCAAGGAAGGGCTGTCTTCATGATTGCCATGGTCCATGATGCTTTCTCCTGTGAGCTATGAGGCTGGTTGGCTTCAGCTGCCACTGCCAGCACTGGTCCAAAATGATGGCTACTGGGGTCGGCACCTATGGCTGTGCTTTGGGGTATAATAATGCCAGAGAGATGCTGAGAGATGTACGCTGCTGACTTCTCTCCCATGCAAAAGCATCTCAGATAACAGGGTGGGAGAAAACTCGATGCTCACAAGGCACTGCTGAGGCCATGAGCATTTCGGCGTGGGAGGGGAAGGCAGGTTGGGAGTGGGGTTTGGTGCTTTTCGGAGAGGCTGGGTTGTGACTCTGCCTCAAAGAACCCACGTGCTTTTGTATACATGTTTCGGGCCGTATCCATGTGGAGAATGGAGTGGTTATTAAAATGAAACTTAATTGCATTAACGCTCAAAACAGAATTAGGAAGTGGTCCCTGGAGAAGTGAGCTGTTGAGATCCAAGTTCCCCCTCAAATAAAGACCTCAGCACTCCAACTGCAGGGACCGAGCTGAAAACCCTCCAGAGGACCAACATTCACAACCAAAACCCATTTTTATATTTTTTTTTAAATCTTTTTTTTTTTTTTTCATACCGGAGGAGCAAAAGAGAACTGCAGAGGAGCAAGGGGAATTAGTCAGGAACATTACATATTTAAAATGCTGATGTGGTGGGAACGATTTCTGGCTCCCCTGAGCATCCGTTTTGCTGGAGCCAAGTGATGCTCTCCAAGTAGAAACAATTATAAATTACC